CAAATCTTCGTCTTAAAATCGATCATAAAGTCAGTTTTCATAATAGTTTTCGTAATCGTAATATATCGAATGAGTATCAGTTTACCTTGTTGGAGTTGGTACTTCAAATACTTGATAACGTCTTCTTTCACTTTTCTGATGTTTTAGGCCAACTGTCAGTCAATATTCAAGAATGCTAAGTGCTCCTTCTAGAGCAGTGATAATACGACTGGCTTGATATTTTTTAATTTCTTTGTTGTGAAGCCTTATTTGTTTACACGGCATTGTTGTGTTCCACAACAATGCCGAGTAAACAAATATAAGGTGGCATTGTTGATGACGTAATTTTTTGATGACAACGACTAATCACAAATTTTTATAGTAAAAATAGTAGATGTGTATTTGATATATGACATTTCAGAAGTTGGTTCTACACTCATCTACAGTTCGCTGGATGTCATTACACCAACAGTTTCTTTTATTACTTATTTTATGGTCAGTGGCGGCGATTGGGATCAAACTTGGGACCATTCAAATAACAACTGCATCAGATGAGTACAGAATTACAACATTTCGAGGTTCCATCTCAACAGCTGCGACAAATCTTAAAGTAAAAGAAATAGCAAATCTGTCAGTATAATAACTAATTACGTACATGAAGACGGCAGAAGAAACAGCTTACGAAACAGTGTATATCTACTACTAGCACCTCGTACACTTCAGCCAAGGGACAACAGAATTGGAAGGAAACAACTATGGCTACAAACCTTACACAACCACAGGATGTCCGATCATTTGACTGTGACACTGAATACAACACTACGTAAATGTTATAACGTTGATGCACGTTTTCTTGGTAACCGGTTAAGTTACATATGTGCTCATGCGCACTACATTACCAGTATAAATGGTAGAAGGAGGGATGGTGGCGGCGATGGTAGCAAAGCCTCAGACATTGGACGATTAACTCGTATAACCAAATAAAAATGGTGTCAATGTTGGTCTTCTGGGTCGTGAAGCTTTGTCGATTCCATCTTCAGGGCTGAGGGCTGTTATCTACCTAAATTCACATGGCGTTACAAGCCAGAAAACCAACATCGACATCTTCAATGCCATGACAGCTTTACATCTCGAATAAAATGCGCAAAATTTGAAACATAACTGACTCCATGGTGCACAGACCTTCTTGAGAAGCTGATATTCCCTCAGCTAGTCAAAAATTCGTCCCATTTTACGGACTCCTTATGTATATTACTGCATTTATATAACTGAATCTGAGGTTCACCTTTGGCTAGAGCTGGAACCTTGACTTGGATAAAACTCCGAAAGAACACAAGATAACATTTAATTGGAAGGGAGGGGTGGTATTTTGTCAGAAGGCGGGGGACGAAATAAGAAACATCGAAAAAAATGATCAAGTTATTTTACTCACGTACTCAATATTACGTTCCACCTGGTGCTGAATGCTGAATAAAATTATACGTGGATCGTCTGGCGCTGTGTTGTGAATGCAGATTCCGCACAAGACACGAGAGTCTACCGCCCTGCGCCCACACCGACTGACATAAAATAGTCGACCACAGCAAACGGGACGTTACGTCATAACAGTTCGAGCGGAAGGGACCCTTCATTTCTAAACATTTTCTATGAACTGATAGGTGGAGTGTTTAATGACGGAATATCAACTATTCAGCTCAGTTCATTCCACAGTGTTGGCCGTCGACCTAATATGTTGAAACCACCAGTCCCTACCATGTTCTTCCAACAGAAAAATGAACTGTAGATACAGAATTTTGGTTCCGAAGCTGATGGCAAGAGACCAGTCGAAAGATCAAGGCGTAGATGGAAGAATAATATCGAAACTGTATAAACTTTGCAAACCACACGGATCTTAAGGAAACATGTTGGGATTTGTGACATCACTAATCCGGCTCAGGACACTCTTATGTCGGGCTATTATGAACACAGTAATAAACACTAAAATTGTATAAAGTGCGGGGAATTTGAACAACTGAGAGACTTGAAGCTTATCAAGAAGAAATATGTTTCATAGAGTTAATAACGTGTTTCAAGATTATAATTTCATTCTGTCAGAGTAAAGTCACCTTTCATAATTTAGATAGTGTCTTTGTTGTTAAATGTATTTTGATTAAATTCCTGTAGGATTCTGTTCTATAAACAACGAAAATTTGAAGTTAACAAAATTTTTGGAAGGTTGTACCAGCCATAGTAACTGAATTGATTATGCCGCTTTGATTAGGCTGCTGAGTGGTTCCAAAAGATTGTTCTCCATTGTTAATTCAGAGACGCTTGAAGCTCTACTTACAACGTTAAACCGGTCTCACCCTGGCTGGTCTCCGGCGAAACACGAAATGCAGCATACACTCGAAAATGTCTACAGATTGTTTCAATTCAGCAATTAATTTTTACAGATCATAATTTCTAGTTGATTAGTTATTAATGTCATTAATGTGCTTGAAAATATATATCCAAATTACTAAATGAGAAATATTATTATTTCCATAGGGAAATTGATCAGGCTCAAATTCCACAGTCCGAATGGAAAAAAGTGTTACGTATTCATGTCAAAGTATTTGGTGTTAGACGTCCAAAGTACGTGTCAATGGTACAAGAATAAAAATTAGTAGCACTAATGTATATGCTGTATTCCACTTATTGTACTGGTTGGTACTCAAAGTTATTCTTCCTGGGTTAAGAGGACACGTGAACTTTGAAAAAAATTAGGCCGATCGTTAATTAAAGATATCATGTGACTATCCACAGAAACCTTTAAGTTTATCGATGATCTGGGTGATAGTTAGAATGAAAAATGTTCGAACCTCATTCTATCTCTACTGAACATAGACCTTGTTTGAGAAGCTGGCAGTCCCCCAGCTACTGAAAAAAATCCTTTCCTTGTATGAAACAGTCCACATCTTCACACATTGTATTTTTCCAAGACACAATTCATCATCTTCCCATTTATACCAAGCAGAATCTTCCGTTGAGGTTTTTATCAAATATTTAGTACGCGTTTCTTAATACCCCCCATGCGCGTTACAACTCCCTCCATCTCGTAAACCCTTAATTTAATTTGGCTACAAATATTGGGTGAAGAGTACAAATTATGAACTTCCTCGTCATATAATTTTCCCCACTCTTTTATTATCATCTTTCCAAGGTCCAAAAACCTTCCTCAGAACTTTGTTCTCATTTTACGTCCACGTTCCCTTCAGAAAATCCAGAACAACCGGTGAAATTATAGGTTCATGTGTTTTACAGATCACAGAAGGAGAAAAACAAATTCTGAAACGAATATCAAGCATTCCCCGGATTTCATTTGCCCTCAATACTCCTAAATATTCAAATAATGACAGATACCCTCTATTTCTGGGGGCCATGTCGTAGTGACAAGGCACCCACTTAACATGGCGACTAACTCAATGGAAACAAAACCTTCTTTTAAAAGCTGATTGCAGTCAGGTGGTTAAGTGAGGTCATTATTATGTGAGGTCAGGCAATGAATACCAAATATTACCCTACGGAGATCATGAAAACTGCAAAATGTACCATCAACACTTAGTAGCGAGATGTCGAGGTCCAGCTATGGAACAGAATACAACAGAATATACACATGTCTGCAAGCAAGTGGAAAAATGTACGAACATATACCAAAGCCAGCTGAGACAAGTAGTTACAACAGCAACAGATAACAACAGGTAGAACCATACGACGCAACAACCCTACCGAATTTCGACATAGAAAATTAACACGTATATTAACTGATATTTCTGTTATCAACTTACAGAAACGTACTAATTAAGCAAAAAAAACAAAGACCTTTTAACAGAAATATGACGCAAGTCGAATGTAAAGACAAAAATGACGAATAAAATTATAGTGGCAACTGTAAGCTTATCACGTTAATTTCAAAAGTACTCATCTGACACTTGGTAAATATCGTAGAATGTGAAGATGGCTATTCTGTGAACAGTACACGTCTAGAGGAACAGTTTAACGTAGTTTTTCACCAATTGGAAATGCATTTTCCAGAAATTACTACTCTGATAAGCCACAAGGACCAGGTTTGTGCCTAGCTCATGAACAGATACATTGGAACGCGGTATGAAAATACAATAATAACAGTTTCCATTAACGTAAGTAGAAGGATTGAAGAGAAAAGGCTATTGTGAGCTCTTGACAGCAGGCGTCTTGAAAGATCATACGCTTGCTTGCACCGAGCGTCTCGACACTTTGATCCTGCAAAGGTCCAGGGTCACGGTGTTCCTTGTGACTTGCAAGGTCATGTACGAGCGGGACTCCATTCCATCGGAACGAAAAGATGAAAGTCCAGCCGATAAGGCAGTAGACATGTACGTGGCGGATGTAACAGACGAAAAACGGTCATATCCAGACCTCTGTCTCTGCTCATCTCAGCTCTTTCTATGTATCCATTCATTTATCCCCACTTCGTTTTTTTTCTCCTATTACTTCTTCGTTCATACTTTAATTTTCATTCCTTCACACTATTTTAAAGTTAAAACGTTCCAACACCATTTATATTCCGTTGCATGAAGTTGTCTACGTGGTTTTGCTAACATTACGTGAAAGCAGATAAAAGGTATTACTTCACGCAAACTAAACTTTTGCATTAGACTGTACTGGGTGGTCAACTTCACACCATCACCGAAGTCCCACGTTTCAACAACAGATAGAAGAAACGTGACAAGCCAAGGACAAGATGGGCAACCCGTATAGAATTTTGAGAATAATTATTTGGGATACGGGCTGAAAGGGGAAATAGCTCATGACAGCTGTAAAAGAAATTACCACACACACAAAAAAAGGTATACGTATATGGGGTGTCCCAAAAGTAATGCAACCAGAAAAGGTAAATGTTTTGTTAGTGTTATAGGGAAATTTAAATTCAACGTGCCCAGTCGCAATTATGGATTTCCACAACCCCGACAAGTCTGTGGTTTGTCGCATATTATTAGCATTCGTTGTTCTACAGACAGTTTTTTGTGTAACGAGCATCATGACATTTTCAACAGGGCAATGTGTGTTTATTGCTGGACATCATTTCCGAACCCAGTCGTATGGAGAAGTTAAAAAAGCATATCAGGTTAAGTTTACTGATGCTGTTGTACCAGATAAGTTAAAGTTTTCGCAAAACTGGGTCCACGAACGATAGCAGCAGTGTGGAAGATACTGTAAAACCCCTCTAGTGGACACCCCTATATCCTGGAACTTGAACACCCCTTTTGTTGTGAGTTGAACAGGTTCATGCACTTAGCATCAATGCTTTTATGGGAAACATTTACAGTTAGTATTTTGTTATTTTGAATTTCTGACTGATGAATGCCTTCTACCTGAGGATTAGCTTATGGTTGAGGGTGTGAGACTTTGAACCCATCATTGGAATGCAGTGAAAGTGTATATTTATTCTTTTTTTTTTGTAGTTGGTATGTTTCTTATATTCCTATAAATTTTACAAATATATTTTCTACGACAATCTCCAAACTCATTTTCATATTAATAATTAATAATTCGAATGTTAATTAATTGTTTCACAGAATAATGAACAACTGACCAAAAATATGCAAAACACTACGAAGATCAAAAGGAATACCTACAAAAAGAAATCTACAAAACAAATAAATCAATAAATGGTTGCATTAATAAATATATATTAGTTTTAAAGATGAAAATAACAATAAAAACCTGAGGATGATGCAATAGCATCGAAACATGTCGTAAATAAGCGCTGAAATGTAACATCGTAATAACGATGAAAAGCGCTAAATTTTTGTCAGTACTGTGCTTGCAGCTGAGTTAGCTTGCAACAGTGTTAACAGAAATTGGATTTTTCTTTTTGCGATGGGGAAACGAAAATTGGTGGAATTAACTCTGGAAAAGAAGAAAGAAGTTTTGGATCTTCTGAAGATAGGAGAAAGTTGCAGGAAGCTGGCAGAGAAATACGGCATCTCAAAATCTACTGTTTCCAACATCAACAGCAACAGAGCCGCAATTACCGATGCGTGGGAAAAGAATTGTAATGCAGACAGAAAAAGACTACGAAAAACACCTCATGATGAACAAATGACAAAGTTGTTGTCGTGCAAAGAACATTCCCATTAGTGGCAGCACTTTTACAGGAGAAGGCTAGAGAAATTGCAACTAGACTCCACATCGAAGATTTCTCGGCGAGAAATGGCTGGTTGGATCGTTTCCGTAAACGAAATAACATAAGTCTGCACGTCCTTTCTGGCGAATCAGCTTCTGCTGATCTTCAAGCTGCTGAAGATTGGAAACGCAAACTTCCAAGCCTTTTGTTGGGATACGCAGAAGAGGACATTTTCAACGCGGATGAAACTGGATTATTCTACCGTCAACTTCCAACGCGATCCTTAATAGAAATGAGAGAGACATGTAAAGGAGGGAAGAAATCTAAGGAACGGATTACTGTTTTGCTATTTGGTACAATTCGCTAGGAGAGAAATTAAAGCCATTAGTTATTGGAAACGCTGCACGTCCTAGAGCTTTCAAAACGAACAATGTGAAATTGGACGACCTTCCCGTAATTTGGTGTCACAACAAGAAGGCTTGGATGACATCTAAAA